TCCCATCCCCTAGGCTGGAGGCCAGATGTAGACAGTAAGGTGTATCTTCAGGCCAGGAGTGGTGAGCTGCTGTTTGTAAGTCTCGGGTGTGTGCATGTGTGTGTGCTGAAGTCTCTTGGCCTGGCTCCACTTCTCCTGGCTCAGCTGAAGCTGGGAATTATTCTCCCTATCCTTCATGTGACAACTCCAGGGAAAGGAGGCGGGGAGGATCTTGGGCAGTTGGCAAGAAGCTTAAAACCCTTTGGTCCTAACTTCTCTACTTATACCAAAGACACTAAAGACCAGAGGGGACAACAAAGTTGGCAAGGTCACACAGCAGCAGGAGAACCACTCTAAGGGAGTTCTTTAACTTGTGCTTTACCTTGGTCCTGGGGAACAAAAAGAATTTCCCATTGCTTCTTTATGTTCCACGGCTCATGACCCCTCTGTCACTCACAAGAGTCACCTTCTGGAAGAGGGCAGGAATTGGAAGGTCATGCTAATCAGTCCACTGCCCCTAGGTACTAGACTAGCTATGTGTGCTCCTATACCCACACTTTGAACCCCTCACACTCTGGGAAGTGTTTCTTCCTATCTGACCTCGATTCTTCCTGCTGCAGCGTGGGCCTGTTTCCTCTCAAGCTGTCCTATGTAGAGACAAGGGGAGAGGAGCAGAGCAGGCCTTCCTGCCTCCACACCCTGCTTCTTGCCCACGCCAGCAGGAAGGACCAGGGCAGGGCGTCCCAGCGGCTGGCCCTGAGCCCGGTGTGTGCGTGGGGGGAGAAGGGCAGGCGAAGCAGCCTGAGTATGGGAGAAATAGCTCTTCTAAGTACTGACCATCTAATGTCCTCTTCTCCAAAGCCCAGTCACAGGCTGGCAGAAATCTCTGCCCTCCCTAGTACCCCAGTTTGTTGATTATAGGTCAGGCACTGTGCTGGTTTTTAATAAATGTGTTATCTCATGTATTCTTTGCTACTCCATGATCAGAAACTAATCTGCCTCCAAGGACAGTGCTTCCCTAAGACTACATCTAACCTTGTTCTAACTGCTGCATTTCCTAAGTCCACCTTAGGACTTAGAGCTTAGTTTTTCCCTTCAGAGACTGCCATTGTGACTTGGTGGCCTCACACTATCTTCTCTGGGCCACCAGCCTTGCTTCAGGTAACAGGGGACATGTACATGAAAGAAGCCATGACAAGAATAAGGGGTCCAGGGCCCTGCCTGTGCCAGGTATGGAGCACATGGGGTAGCAAGGAGGGCCTGAGGAAGTCCCAAAAAACCAAGCTGGGCAGACCGGGGAGTGGGGGGCGGGGGTCTCAGGTCCTCCACTTCCCTTTGGTCTTTGGCTAGGCAGGGAGTGACCTCCTCTCTCTGAGCCTCCATTTTTGAGGCTCAAATTCATCCTTCATGCCTAGAATCTAGGGCCCTGAGCAGGAGTATGCAAGGACTCAACAGGACAGACCCTGCTGTGCACTGTGGCCAGAGCTGAAGTCAGAAGGGCTGAGTGCACCAAGCGAAGCACCCAGCATATGGGTGGCCACAGGCATCTCTAGGGACCTCACACCCCACATCCCCTGCCTGACCCTTCAGGATCCCCTCTACCAAGCCATCCCTCCACCCTGCCTCAGCACAGAGAGACAAGAGAGGTAGGAGCCAGACCCACATTTCTGGGTGCTCAGCTCCCACCCTCTAGGAAACTGGAGCCATGGGATCTGGCCAATGGATGAGGGGAGCAAGATGGATAGGCGGGACTCCGGGCCAGTGTTAGTGGTTCCCTTCCCCTGCAAGCAGGCACTATTAATATATGCAAAGCATATGCAAATCACAGAAGAGAGACACAACATCACTGGAATGTCAGAAGAGACCTTGGAGATCATCCAGCCCCACACCCTCATTTCAGGTGAGGAAGGAAGCTAGGCTGGGAAGGGACTTGCTCAAGGTCACACAGAAACCTGGGTCCTAAAGTCCAGGGCTTTAGACTCAGTCCAGTGTTTTTTCTGTGATGGTGGGGAGTGGGCAGTTTATACCAGAGGAAAGTGGCCAGGACCTGGTTGGGGCTCCAGGCAAGCCTATCAGAGGTTAAGGCATGGAGCCATCAGCTTCCTGGATCCCTGCCCCCTCCCTGGAGCGTGGAGATGGTCTGGAAGGCACATCTAGCTGCATGACAAAACTACCTCCAGGTACCAGAGGTGCTTGGCAACAGAAATCCCTTGGGGAAGTAAAGGTCAGAAGGCGCTTAAAGTGTGCGGGGGGGGGGGTGTTGGGGGGGCCCGCACCAACACACACACACACTGTATATGTGGAGTGTGTGTCCTTTTAAGTGCACAGCAGCCCCTCCAGCTTGCACTCTGATAGCGATGGCACCTGACAGCCCCTCATAGTCAGCCTACCTGACCCATCCCTTCCCTTCTAAGGCTGCGGCTGTGGCTGCTCTGTGGCTGCTCTCCTATCTCCCGGTAGCAACCTTCCACTCAGTCCTAGAAAGCAAGCTGATGCTAGGGCAGGGGAGACACACAGAGGGGAAGGGCCCTCAGGGCAAGCGAGCTAGGGAGCAAGAAGACCATTGAAGGAGAAAAAGGGGAAGACAGGCAGTTGGAGGAGGGGCAGGAAAAAGAGTGGGAGTGGGAGGGAAGTGGGAGACTGGTGGAGAGGAGAGATGGGAGCCTGAGGGGACCAGGAGATTTTGGGAACTGCAGGGCAGAGGGATACTCAGGGCCTCAGGGGCCTGGAGGATTCTGCTAGAGCCTAGATATGGGTATGGAGCCCTGCCACTGGGGTGCTAGGGTGTCAGGACGGGCTGGGGACCATGCCTCTGCCCCTCTGCCCATCACTGGCTGCCAGGAAGCTGGCCCACCCTCCCTCCCTCCCTCCCACCTCCTTCCTTCCTTCCCTAGGGGCAGGCACTGCTTCTCAGCCAAATCCAAAGCCTTCATCTCCTCTTTTCAGAGCCCAGAATGAAAGAAGGGGAAGGGAGTGCAGCCCTCAAACCCGCTGACGGCCAGATTTTTATTATCTTTGCTCAAATGGGCCCTGGGAAGCCGGGGAACGATTCTTCAAAGAGCGCCTGAGTGGCTCATTGAAGCAAGCACCTGCAACGGCCCACCCACGGCAGGCCTGGACTCCAGACACAACCTGTCCCCATAGTCCCTAACCCCAGGGACCTGAGCTATGGATGCCAGGAGCCTCACCCTCAGCATCTTGTGCCCAGGCAGGGGCCACCAGGTCAGGGAACTAGGCTCAATACTAGGCCAGACCTGGGTCAACTGGGCATCTAGGGCAGTCCCTGTCCTTCTCTGTCCTGGAAGACATAAATGGAGGAAAAACATCTCCTTGACAGGGCTAGGAGACAAGTGCTTAGGATTCCTCGAAAGAGATGCTTTTATGGCCAGCCCTGGATTCTTCCCTGGACCCTGCACCAACCTGGGCTCCTGTGGACCCGTCCATTCCTCCAGACTTCCTGGGGTAGGACCCTCCATTCCTCCAGACTTCCTGGGGTAGGACCCCTCCATTCCTCCAGACTTCCTGGGGTAGGACCCCTCCTAACCACTGCTGCCTCTTCCTGTGCCCTCAGCTCACTACTCAGGACAGTCTATATGAATTGTCTTTCCTTTTATCTGAACACAGCCCCTAGCAATTTCAACCCTCAGCTAGGCCCCCCTTCTTTCCCCAAGACCTATCTAGGGTAGATGTAGGGAGCTTCAGATAGCCTGGCCCCATCAATGTTCAGCACTTCCAGGGCTGAGGTTTTGGCAGAGAATGCCAAGGTTAGCACTGGGCAGACGGCAGCTGTGCCACCCTTGCCCCCCCCCCAGTTCTGACCACACGGTTGAGATCGATGCCCGCAGCCAAAGAGGGAATCAATGGTTCTAATTAAACCCTTTTTCTGGGGTAGGTCCATGGAGAGAGAGAGAGAGAGAGAGAGAGAGAGAGAGAGAGAGAGAGAGAGAGAGAGAGAGAGAGAGAATATGACTAAGACTAAGAGGGGCACTAGATTCTGGTGGGTCAGTATTCACCTTTCAGAAGCCTATAAAAGCCATGCCTCTGAGGGCTTCTTCTAGGGACCTTTCTTCCCCTTTCTTCCAGTGAGGGTCCTCTCCCCACTCCTTCCCTAAGACCAAATTTGTTTCTTCCAGACAGATCTCCAAGGTAGGATCAGAAGGGGGACCCATCATCTATCCCCTAGGATCATCATAGAGAACTAGCCCTCGAGGAAATCAAGGAAGGAGCAGGAATTGGGGGTGGGAATAGGATTGGACAAAGACCCTCTTGTCCCAAAGGCAGAGTGGCAGGACGCCAGGGCAAAGCCTTAGCTCTTGCAGCCATTGGTGCCTAAGTGCCAGGCAGCCTGAGTGGAGAGCCCCCTCTCCTTATGTCCAGATACCTCACCCATCTCTCTTGCTTCTGTAGCAGGTCATCAGCTAAGTCTCTGTCAACTCTCAGCCTGCCTGGAGCACTCTTTCTTGGGCGAATGCCATCTCGGACACTTACCCAGAGTGTCCCACATCAGCCAGAACCAACCAATCTCCAAACTCATATGCCACAGCTGCCCCCCACATACAAACACACACCAACTGCCAAGCCAAAAAACACCATCATCCCAGCTGTCACCAGAGATGACAGCCTCAGATTTCCACAGTGACTGTCTCCATCAAATACATCATCAGGTTTTTAAGATCAGCCACAGGGACAGGGAAGGGAATGAGAGAAACTGAGGCTCACTGTTAGCAAAGCAGTAGGCTCAAGGTCACCCAGACCAAGATGACCAGAGTGAGGTCAGTTTCCTAACACCCCACCCCAAAGTGCACAAACCTCACCCAAATAATCAGTCAGACCCCTCAGACCTGATGTCTGCTACGTTTCTCCACTTCCCCTTAACCCCAAATACACTCTGCTGGGCCTGGAACCCCCAGCTAGGGACCCCACTTCCCGCAAAGTTGAAGGTTGCAGGACCTCCAGTATTTTTTGAGCGGCTGCAAAAGACAGTCCAGGCTCTCCTGGCTTAAACCGCTGATCCAGCTCACCTGGTTCCCCTCTGCCCCCAGGGTCCCTCGGTCCAGCTTCCTCCCTGGGAGAGCGGGCGCGACCCTCCGCGGTCCTCTCCCACCAGGCCAGGGCAAATCGCCGAAGACACTGCCAGGGCTGCATGGGGAGGCGTGGGGCGTGGGGCGCGCACCAGCAGCCGCACACGCCCCGCCGGGCCCTGCCAGCCAAGCTGCGGAGGCACCCGGCCGGCCCCCTCTACTGCCACCAGCATCCTGCTGCCCCCACCAACAGGACTCGGAGCTGGCCCAGGAGCTTCTGACGTAGCAGGGGGGTGCGTGGGAGGGAAGGGGGGGCTACGGCAAGTCCCCTCCCATCCCCGCCCCTCTGCTCCTCCAGCCCTCTGCAGTTCCCACCTCCTCATCACCCCGGATGCCCTCCCCAGCTGGGGGCGCCCTCCTTTGCCCTCTGGCCTCTGCAGGGGGAGGGTTTAAGATTCAGAAGCCCCTCCTCCGGCCCCTCCCTCCCCAGGGCCCTCCCAACCCGCCCGCGGAGCAGGGATCAGGTCCCCAGTTTCTACAACTGCTCCGGAGGCTCGGAGGTTTCCGAGGCTGGGGCCTCGAGGTGCTGGGGGTGGGGTGTGGAATACAGCCTTGTATTCCTGGCAACACAACCAACCCCCAGAACGCACTTGGTCCCCTGCTTCCCTAAGGGGCTGGCGCGAAGGGTCCAGAACTAACAGCCTGGCGAATGCACCCCATTCTGGGAGCAGAGGCGGGGACGATGCTCTTCCCTTCATCCCTTTCCTCCTCCCACCTCAACATCCCAGACCTCCACCACGGATGGACCCCTCCCCGCCACTCTCCTGGCCATCCCCCGTCTCTCACCCCTCCCCCGCTACATTGTAACCCCAGGTCCCCTCCCCCCGGGGACCGCGGGGCCCTCCTCGCCCTGTCTCCAGCTTCGCCAGCCCCTGACCCCCTCGGCTCCCAGCACTATCCCATCCTGGTCCTCCCAAGCCCGGCTCGCAACGGTCCCCTGCTCCCCCCACAACACCTGCGCCCAGAGCATCCCTCGCCCGGCGGGCCACCGCCTCCCGGGCCCGGCCGCCGCCCCCGCCCCCGGCCGCGGGGAAAACACACAAAGAAAACAGAAATACCTTCCACTTAAGCATGGAGGCACATTAGGGAGGAGAGAGACAGGGACATGCCTTGGGACGGAGCGTTCCCCATCGGGCGGGGGCTCGGGGGGCGGGGGCCCCGGGCCGGCCTGCCTGGCGCTCGGCCTGTAGCCGCCTCGCGGGCTCCTCGCTCGGC